CAGCAGTCAGTCAGATTGCCGCCCCTCCCTGAGCCTGGTTCTGGTGAACATGTGTTTCTGTTAAAAACGAGTGTTTCCTCCCCACTGTCACCAGTGTGCCTGCTCGTGGTCTGATTGTGTTTCCTCTGTAGGGTCTTTACGTACAATATTAACTGCCTGAGGTGACCGTTGTTGTGATTTGGTGCTAAGAAAAACTGAACTGAATCTGTGAAACCACTGCAGATCACTATAACACTAAACATTTCAGCCCTTTGGGGGGAGTTGTGCTTTTGTTGTGAAAATCTGTTCCTGCTCTTTTCCTCTGCAGGCATTACAACATGGTTTCCTGGATTTTGAAAGGTTCAGTGCAGAAGAATATGAACATTATGAGGTAACAGACTGCAGAGACTGTGCTACAGGTCGATATCAATGCAAACAGGACCAGGATACAGGAAGAAATAACTAATTATTTCTTAAATTAAATAGCTTGTTATTCATCCAGTTTATTTGCAGTGCTGTTAGTAACACAGTCAGGGCCAACCAAGAGCTGGTACGATGTCCAGGCCTGCCTTGGTGCACGCTGTACTTCCTCAGTTTCTCAGTTAGATTGATCCATAACTCACCCGTCCAAGTGATAGACAGTCAGTGAAGTAAAGGTCAGCTCACCTGTGTCCACTGCAACAAAACTGATTTCCAATGAAAGGTAACAGCCCGTACGTGTTCATTACTGCAGTGGTGGTATAATTAAGGTGTTCTGGATCCATGTTTTAACTGATATGTGGCTAACCTCTATCATAGTCTTTCCTTTCTTTTTGTGCTTTTAGCGAGTTGAAAATGGAGATATGAACTGGATCGTTCCGGGGAAAGTTCTGGCGTTCAGTAGCCCTCATTCTCGTGGTGAGTCAGAATGCCTCCAAACCAACACCAGTGCTCACGTTGCTTGGCTGACAGAAGGCCTGTGCAGCCCCTCAGTGCCTGCACGTCCTGAAGCAGCTGAGAAGAGCTAACCTTACCCTGCTGTCTTCTGACGGCGTGCATTGTTTCCTGCTTAGTGCTGTCGTGTTGTTACGGCTGGATTAGACGAGCCTGAACCCTGCAGTGGCTCGGGGTTTCCCATGATGCACTCATGCTTCTCCATCCCTCAGCTCTTTTTACTTTCTGTGTATTTACACCACTTTGCACGTAGTTATTATTCCCCTCTGGCTCTCGTCCATCTCTTGTCCTGTTGTCCTCCCCCCACCCCGACCACATGAGGCAGATTGCGCCCCCTCCCTCAGCCTGGTTCTTGTTAAAAGGGAGTTTTTCTTTCCCGCTGTCAGCAGGTGCTTGGGGCCGTCCGATCGTTGGGTTTTCTCTGTATTTAACGTCTTTACCTTACAACATAAATCAGCTGACACTACGTCATTGAATCTTATTTTACGTTTGCATTAAAAACAGACGCTCGCTGATTGAAACGTATGACGTAACTCAGCTGTTGTTGACTCTGTCTCCAGGTTATCCCCTCCACACACCCGAGGCATACTTCTCATACTTTTACCAAAATGACGTAACGACCGTGGTTCGTCTGAACAGGACGTTGTATGATGGCAGGCGGTTTGAGGATGCAGGATTTGAGCACCACGACCTCTTCTTCCTTGATGGGACCACGCCCTCTGACCTCATCGTCAGACGCTTTCTGCATGTGTGTGAAAGTACAGACGGGGCAGTGGCGGTGCACTGTAAAGGTAGGACTGCAAGTCTTTATCTTTAATTGATG